TTTCTTTCTTTTTTTGGAGACAGGGTCTTACTCTGTCACCCAGGCTGAAGTGCAGTGGCACGATCTTGCCTTACTGCAACCTCTCCCTCTCAGGCTCAGGTAATCCTCCCTCCTCCCACCTGAGCCTCCCTAGTAGCTGACACTAGAGGCCCACACCACCTTGCCTGGCTAATTTTTGTATTTTTTGTAGAGACAGACCATGTTGCCCAGGCTGGTCTTGAACTCCAGGACTCAAGCAATCCACCTGCCTTGGCCTCCCAAGTGTTGGGATTACAGGCGTGAGCCACTGCACCCCACCAAAGGACTTTTCTTTATAATGTTTTTAACTCATTGTTAATTTCTACTTTTTTGTTTAAAATGTTTTAAAATAAATAATTTATAAATATATATATATATATATATATGGGGTAACATGCTCAATGTTTGTTACTGATAGAGGTACATGATCAAAAGAGCTTGGAGGCCACTACATTAAACTATGAATTTTGTAAATATAATTTGCATTGATTTCAATTTACACATGACTTGATTTATAGCTACATCATTAAAAAAGCCACTACATGTGATATTGTACAGAAATTATGTGATATTGTATAGAAATTATGCTTGTGACATTGTACAGAAATATGCTTGCAATGGGAATGAAACTGATTCCAGCATTCATCCTGGAACAAACTTCCCCCCAAACTTTGATTACTCGAGAAAAATGTGTTTTTAACTCCCCATGTAACACTGATATTTTTCCTGATAAATCTGGGAGGCAGTACCCTACAGTGCCTTTGGGACCACATTAAATTAACAATGACATATTAAGTGCCTGATTGCCATGGCAGATGTAAGTTCTCCTGCCTACAAAAAAACTGATTGAAATTTGCATACCTGACCGGGCACGGTGGCTCACGCCTGCAATCTCAGCACTTTGGGAGGCCAAGGCAGGTGGATCACTTGAAGTCAGAAGTTCAAGACCAGCCTGGCCAACGTGGTGAAACACCATCTCTGCTAATAATACAAAAAAATTAGCCAGGTCTGGTGGTGCAAGCCTGTAATCCCAACTACTTGGGAGGCTGAGGCAGGAGAATGGCTTGAACCCGGGAGGCAGAGGTTGCAGTGAGCCAAGATCGCACCATTGCACTCCAGGCTGGATGACAAGAGCAAAACTCCGTCTAAAAAAGAAAAGAAAGGAAATTTGCATACATATACCCTTCTATTGCTGCAGGGACCTTCAGTTCATTGTGTGTGGCTGTAATATTAAGGAGTGACTTGGGGTATGTGAAGCAATAGAAATGAGAACGAAAACTAAGAGAACTAATGAAGAGGAACAGCAAAAAATGCAGCTGATCTTGGATTGTTAGTTGAAAGGAGCAGTTACATTTTAGCTTTTGTACTTGAAGCTTAAGTACTTCTTTCTTTTTGCTTTGCCCATCTATGCTAATTATCCATCATTCCCAAAAGATTTAATTTTATTAATCCAGTGTTAAAAGCAGAGATCCATAAATAGAGTTTTAATTCAGAAATATCCTACTATAGCCCAGTGTTTCCAGCATAATGAATTCACCATGTAATTAAAAGTTTGATTAAACTAGAACCTACAAAAATATCATGTTTCTGAACTAATGTCCATAAATAGACTCAAAGGTCGACCCAGTATTCTCTATACATTAGATGTATTCAAATAATTTACTATACACTTTTCCAAAGCAAAGCAAAAAAAAAAAAAAAAGCGTTATTTCTATGGTTGTAAAAGAAGCGTTTATCCGCTTGAAAAAATTACTAAGTCTGTGTGAGTGGGGTCTGTCGTGGGCCAAGCTGCAAAGATCTGGCATGCATCTACCACAAGAGGGCAGTAGCACTCAACCGTTAATAGGGAACCCAGCAGAGCGCTGGAGGCTCATTAGAGGAATCATTAGAGCAGGTCGTTAACGCATCAAGCTCTGGAAAGGACAGGGAAACAGGAACCACCGTCCAGACACTTTCGGAGCTTCTGTCTCGGTAACAATAAGACAGGAAATAAGCAACAGGGTCTTGTGAAAGAGAGCGACCTCGCTCACCATCCTCGTGTCGTTGAATCACCATGGAGATGGCGACTAGCTTAATAATGGCTGCAGATGGGCGTCTGCTCATGTGGATGTTCAGATAAGAACACTGTGGCAGGGGTCAAAGGAACAGAGCTCTTCATGGGCATTACGGAAGGGCGGAAGCAAAGCTGAGCGGAGCAGCAGAGCTGTTCTGTCTCCGAAAATTAGGACTTTTAGGAGTGTCCTAGGTTGAATTTTATTTTATTTAGCTTCGTATCATTGAGACATTAAGACTATCTTTAGAAACCTGTATCATTTACCTTGTAGGGTTTCCAGGAAACTAATTCATAGAAAGAGAGATGAATTGGCCGGGCGCAGTTGCTCATGCCTGTAATCCCAGCACTTTGGGAGGCTGAGGCGGGCAGATCATCTGAGGTCAGGAGTTCGAGACCAGCCTGGCCAACATGATGAAACTCCGTCTCTACTAAAAATATAAAACTTAGCCAGACGTGGTGGTAGGCGCCTGTAATCCCAGCTACTTGGAAGGCTGAAGCAGGAAAATTGCTTGAACTCAGGAGATAGAGGTTGCAGTGAGCCCACAAGGTGCCACTGCACTCCAGCCTGGGCAACAGAGTGAGACTCCATCTCAGAAAAAAAAAAAAAGAAGAAAGAAAAGAAAAAAGAATTGTAAAACAAATGCACCTTCAATATTTTAAGTACGTATGTCGATTGGTCTAGTGTTGCCCATAAAATGAATCAGGTATTTTGAGTGTGATCTCATGAGCAGCACCTGTTTTTGTTTTTATTCCTAATTCTCTCTAATGTTACTGAGCTATAATCTGGAAAGACGTTTAGTATTTGAAAAACCTAATTCATTATTCCTTAATTTAATGTTTCAGTTTAACATTATTGAAGACTTACAACTGAATGAGAAAAGACAATGCCAGGGTGGTGTGTGTGTGAGCGTATGTGTGTGTTAAAACAGAGCATTTTAGAAAATTAATTGGATCCACGTTTTAAAGTCAGCTTCAAATAAAAATTGAGACTTGTGAATGTTTTCCACATTTTATGTGCCTTTCCTATCCCGTAGTATACCTTTTGTTGTATAGTTCCTTCCAAACCATAGGGCAGCTAAACCTAATTCAGAGAATCTTGTTCCTTTGTGTTGATAAAAGACAAGAAAATATGTTCTGCTTAGCAATTCTAATAGATCATTGCCATTACTGTTAATAAGCTATTGGATGGAAGACTTGATATTTAAAAGCTTTTGCTCAATTAAAAAAAAAAAGCCAGGTGCAGGGGCTCATGCCTGTAATCCCAGCACTTTAGGAGGCCTAGGTGGGAGGATTGCTTGAGGCCAGAAGTTCAAGACTAGCCTGGGCAACATAACAATACTCCGTCTCTATGATTAAAGATAATGAATAAATTATTTATTTATAATTATTAATGAATAAATTATTTATTTATAATTATAAATAAATAAATAATAAAGCTTGAACTCAATTATAACTAAATGGTTTACTCAAATCAGCAAACATGTATTGGGTTAGGCAGTGAGTTAGTCACTAGGAATAACAGAAATGAATAAAATAGACTTGTGGGTGAGAGGCACCTGAAAGAAAGGGGGTAGTTATTATTATTATTATTTGAAATGGAGTCTCACTCTGCCACCCAGGCTGGTATGCAGTGGCACAATATCAGTTCACTGCAATCTCCACTTCCCAGGTTCAAGCGATTCTCCTGCCTCAGCTTCCCGAGTAGCTGGGATCACAGGTGCCCACCACCATGCCTGGCTAATTTTTGTATTTTTAGTAGAGATGGGGTTTCACCATGTTGGCCAGGCTGATCTCGAACTCCTGACCTCAAGTGATCCACCCACCTCTGCCTCCCAGTGTGCTGGGATTACAGGTGTGAGTCACCGCACCCAGCTAATAGTTAATATTTTTGAGCAACTACTCTGGGACAGATCTTCACAAATATTTTCTCAGCCTCTGGTCCCAGCTACTTGGGAGGCTGAAGTGGGAGGATCACCTGAGCATGGGAGGTCGAGGCTGCAGTGAGCCATGATCATGCCACTGCACTTCAGCCTGGGCAACAGGGCAAGACCCTGTCTCAAAAGAAAAAACAATTCTTCCAATTTTGTTTTATGGGAGAAGAAACTGAGGCTCAGAGCAGTTAAGTGACAAAACTCATTGGTGTAGAGCCAAGATCTGTTAAACTCTAGATAGTCTTTCCATTGGACAGAACCCACATCTGTTCAACTCTATGTAGTCTTTCCATTGGACCATTCTATTTGAATATTAGTCACTGACTCCTGGGAAAAAGCAACTTTTATGAATGACAGTTTAACAGTTTTCAATTTTAAAAACTTAAAACATATAATGGTGTGCAGTTACTACATAGCTTTAAATAATTTTTAATTAGAAAACATTTCAAACATGCAAGTATAGAGAATAACACCTGCATAGTCATTATGAAGCTATATTCTATATCCAACCTTAACACTGTGTTTCAGTTAGACTTTCTAAAGAAAACATTAGAAGAACAGTTAAGGATTCCTATCCTTCCTCGATCCCACTGTCTTCTTGTCTTTCCCTAGAGATAATACTATCATGAATTTGGTATTAGTTTCATGCATGATGTCCTATTTTTACCATATGCTAATGAATCCATAAATAATATAATACTATCTTGCAGGTTTTAAAACTGTTTAATTGTGTCTAAAAGTACATATTATTCTATAACTTACTTTTTCTATTGAATATTTTGAGATTTATTCATGAATACAAATAACTCTTTGTTAACTGCTGTCAAGTATTCCATTGTATGACTACACCAAAATTTATCCATAATCCTGTAAATACAAGATTCTGCTTGGTTTTGACTCAAAACATATCTAATGAACTTTAATCATAATACTGGAACTTATCATCTTAATAGTGAAGTGTAAAACTATCCACTCTTACTTTTTTCTTCCTGATGCAGGTCATTCCCGAACCGAAGTATGGAAATTTGGTAATGTTGTCATTGAACATCTATACCACTGGATACACATCTGTTCAGCTCTCACGAAGATAACCAAAAAACTAAATAGTTCTATTACACCCCCGTTGCCCTCCAAGACTGACAATTATATGTATGCAAAAATGCCAGGGGAAGGTTTGCAAGATAAGTGATAATGAATGATAATGGAATTGGTACTGTATTTAGGATCCTTTGTTCATGTTCAGTTTTGTTTGTTAACTATAAAATATTTTCCATTGGAAAGGGGTACCGATAAACATCTTCTGCTCCTAACATTTATCTCAGCACTTTCTAAACCCAAAAGTGGTACCTAAGAAGAAATTTAGCCAAAAAATATCCAGCGAAGGTAGCCATAGCCAAGTGTTTCAAGTATGTTATAGAATATATTTGAAAGCTTCCTTTCAGTTTGAGCTTTGTATCTGCTGTGGAACTGTTATGGTTGATTGAGTAGTTATTTTTCATTCTTATAAGGTGCAAAGTAACAACTGAGGATTTAGAAAACAAGAATACCAAACAGAATACCAAATAATAAAGATAAACCAAAAGAATACCAAATAATAAAGATTTTTAAGAAATGGACTGAGAATTGTTTTTCTAATTTTTCAAAGACTTATAGCATCACCTCTTCCCTCTCTCTGCCCCCCTACTCTTGCCTTAACAACTCAAGTCATTTTTAACTTATTAATTTTTAATTTTTGTGGGTACATAGTAGGTGTACATATTTATGGGGTACTCAAAAGTGATTTTAATGAACAGAAATTCTTGTGGGAAAATGTCCATGACTCATGGAAAAAAGAAGACACTTTTTAAATGATAAAAACCTCTTCAGTTTAAGAAAGGCAAAAAGAATTTATATTTGTTTAAAGCTTGTTTTTGTGACGAACTTTACTGGTCTGTGGTGAGATTTCATCTTTGCAATAAGATATCTGATGACAGAGTCCAGTTTTAATAACATTTTGGGAAATTAAACTTTATTTTCTTTATTAGATTGACAAAATGTGATGTGTCCAAATATCTTATAATTTGAGATTGGCTGTCCCTTTTTAACCTTTTCTGATAAGAGGGCGGTGTTATTACCAGTCCTCCTCTCTAGGATGATCACATGCCGGTTTTAACCTATATGCCTGTTTCATATTTGGAAGAGGGCTTTTTAGGGCATTCACAGCAACATTTCAAGAAACAATGTTCTTGAAGATATTAAACTGATAACCACATATCCTGATGGCTTCAGAACAAGTTTACAGAGTTCATTGTGAATACAAATGGCATTTTAGGGAGCAAGGAAGGAAAGATTTTGCAGAATGCTATGTTTGTAACCATTATCCTGGAAATCAAATTAACTAAATGACTTCTAGCTTGATAACAAATATCATACATTTGCATGGCACTTTAACTTGAAGTATTTTCACATACTAGCTTATCTGATTCTTCCAAATATCTCTAAAGTGGGTAGTCCTGATATTATCTCCATTTTATTTTATAAATGAGTTGCTCACTTCACAATGGGTATAAGAGGCAGAGCGGACCTAGCACCTAATTTCTGGTTTATTGCCCTTGCCAGCACCCTAGAAATCTCACTCACACTTTCCAGCTTTCTTACTAGGCTAATGACCATGCTGTCAGTCTTTTGAAAACTACTTTAAAATTTGCAGCCAACAAGCCAGATTGGTTAAATTTATTAAATAATCATTCAAGTAAAATACTGTCCTTCAACCTTAGGAGCTTATATTTTGAGTGAGGAAGATGTTATTTATACCTGACAAAGGTTAGATACAGATTTATATATAAATCCATTTATTTCACTGTTAATAGATTTATTATATTTACATATGCTTCAGAAGCTTGGACTCGATTAACTGAATTTGTTATTGGCTCTTTCCTCACAGTTCATAGGTAACAATGACACTGCACAGTGTAGACCATCCAGACCACTTTCTTTCCTTTGCTTTCTTTTTTATTTTTTTAAGTGACGGGGTCTCGCTCTGTCCCCCAGGCTGGAGTGCAATGGCTTGATCATAACTCACTGCAGCCTTAAACTGCTGGACTCAAGTGATCCTCCTGCCTCGGCTTCCCAAAATGTTGAGATTATAGGCATGAGCCACTGTGCCCAGCTTCACTTTCTTTTATACTTTTGGCTTGTCATGATTCAGGAACATCATGAAGTGTAAAGATAATGACTTTGGAATCTCAAAAAAGCTCCAACTGCCTTTTTAAACAGCTTTACTAACATATCCACATACCATAAAAGTTACCCATTAAAGTGCAGAATTAATTTTTGTTATATATTTACAGAGTTGTACTACCCTCACCACAATCAATTTTAGATTTTTTTTTTTTTTCCCCCCGAGACGGAGACTTGCTCTGTTGCCCAGGCTGGAGTGCTGTGGTGCATCTCGGCTCACTGCAACCTCCTGGGTTCAAGCCTCCTGGGTTCAAGCGATTCTCCTGCCTCAGCCTCCCGAGTAGCTGGGATTACAGGTGTCGGCCACCACGCCTGGCTTTTTTTTTTTTTCTTGTATTTTTAGTAGAGACTGGTTTTTGCTAGTTTGCCAGGCTGGTCTCAAACTCCTGACCTCGTGATCTGCCCACCTTGGCCTACCAAAGTGCTGGGATTACAGGCGTGAGCCACGAGCCTGCCAAACATTTTGATCATCCCAATAAGACACCACATACCCATTAGCAGTCACTCCCCACTTTCTCCTACCCCCAGCCCTAGGCAACCGCTAATTTTTTTTCTCTACGGATTTGCCTATCTGGACATTTTGCATACAATATGTGGTCTTTTGTAATTGGCCTCCTCTTCCCTCATTTTTTTTTTTTTTTTTTGAGATAGAGTCTCACTCTGTCGCCCAGGCTGGAGTGCAGTGGTGCAATGTTGGCTCACTGCAACCTCTACTTCCCGGGTTCAAGTGATTCTTGTGCCTCAGCCTCACAGGTAGTTGGGATTACAGGCATGCACCACCACACCTGGCTAATTTTTGTATTTTTAGTAGAGACAAGCTTCACCATGTTAGCCAGGCTGGTCTTGAACTCCTGGCCTCAAGTGATTGGCCCCCTCAGACTCCCAAAGTGCTGAGATTACAGGCATGAGCCAGTGCACCCAGCCAATTCCCTCTTAATCTAAATAGGCTTAAGCGACCAGATGCCCTGAACTTCTGGACATTATCAATCCTCCAACTCAGAAGACCATTTGAAGGTAATTTAAGAATTGTGCAGGCCGGGCGCGGTGGCTCATGCTTGTAATCCCAGCACTTTGGGAGGCTGAGGCGGGCAGATCAACTGAGGTCAGGAGTTCGAGACCAGCCTGACCAACATGGAGAAAACCCATCTCTACTAAAAATACAAAATTAGCTGGGCGTGGTGGCTCATGCTTGTAATCCCAGCACTTTGGGAGGCTGAGGCGGGCAGATCAACTGAGGTCAGGAGTTCGAGACCAGCCTGACCAACATGGAGAAAACCCATCTCTACTAAAAATACAAAATTAGCTGGGCGTGGTGGCACATGCCTGTAATCCCAGCTACTCGGGAGGCTGACGCAGGAGAATCACTTGAACCTGGGAGGCGGAGGTTGCGGTGAGCCGAGATTGTGCCACTGCACTCCAGCCTGGGCGACAAGAGCGAAACTCAGTCTCAAAAAAAAAAAAAAAAGAATTGTGCATTCCTCTCATATAGGAGGTTTTCTGCAACGCCACTCCCACAAAACCTCACTTCACATCATCAACGCCATGTTCTTACTCTCCTTTCACAGAATCTTGTTACGAAGACCTCTCTCAGGATCAGAAAAAGTAACTATTGGATACTAGACTTGGTACCTGGGTGACGAAATAATATGTACAGTGAACCCCTATGACACAAGTTTACCTATATAACCAACTTGCACATGTACCCCACAACCTAAAAGTTAAAAAAAAAATTTAAAGCAAAAATAAAAATTTTAATTAAAAAACTCAACTGATAAGATCAGTGAATTAAATATTGCCTATTTCACCTGTTTTCTGGTTATAAATATAGCTCACCACTTTGAAAGTAGGGCCATTGTGAACCATCTTTGGTCTAGAATGCTGTCCAGTTCCATAATCTTTTTCTTGGTCAAATTTGTTAAATTTATAAATAAATAAATATTGCCTAATTTCTCTGCCCTTAAGCTTGGTTATTACCCTCAGTAGGTGTACCATCTCCTAGTCATTAACCGTATTTAACCTGTCCTCCATCTACTGTCTGAGCTTAGACTGTCCTGCCCAAGCACTTCAAGTGATGAGGCAACTCTAGGTGGCCATTACGTGATTGACTCTCTAGTTACAGTTGTTTGAATTAGGGGTGACCCCTTACCAAAGTGAGACCAATTTGTGAAATGGCCTAATATAAAAAGCACCCAAACCATGGACAAGCCAAACTGGGAAACAGCAATGGGAGCAGTGTCTAAAAGGAAATTAAGGCCGCGCACAGTGGCTCACGCCTGTAATCCCAGCAGTTTGGGAGGTCGAGGCGGGCAGATCACTAGGTCAGGAGTTCGAGACCAGCCTGGCCAATATGGTGAAACCCCGTCTCTATTAAAAATACAAAAATTCGCTGGGCGTGGTGGTGCGCACCTGTAATCTCAGCTACTCGGGAGATGAGCGGAAGAATTGCTTGAACCTGGGAGGTGGAGGTTGCAGTGAGCCAAGATCGCGCCACTGCACTCCAGTCTGGGCAACAGAGTGATACTCCGTCTCCAAAAATAAGTAAGTAAATAAATAAATAAAAACTAAAAAATAATAAAAGGAAATTAAGTGTTTAGAGAGGCCAAAGGTGTCATGAGAGGCCTTGAAGGAAGTTGGTGCATAGTGCCTTCAATATGCTACAAGTTAGCAGAAACTATAGGTAGAGAAAAGGTGTGAGTAGTTGGTTGGGGAAAAGATTGGGTGCAAAGAGAAGAAACTGAAAGTAGTGAAGTTAACATTAGTAACACTAGTGTCAAAAGATTAAATGGAAGATCCAAGGGTTTCGGTAATGGATCCAATTTAGTCAACTGTTCTGTTCTGGAAGTTGAAGATGATTGGAAATTTCTGTTGTATAATAACCATGAGGATGGTAGTGATGATCTATCTTTTACTGGTTTACCCAGCTTGTCCTTACAGCATTTCTGGTTAAAGTTTCAAAAGTTGGGTTCCAAAATGTTAGGAGGCTTCTCTGTGCCCTTATTCACCGCTGCAGTTACCACCACTGCTGCAGACTCTATAACACTGCATCTGAGAAACTGTCCCTTCTAGCCTAGGGAAAATCCCATGACCGCTTCATTAAAATGTCCCAAAGGCAATGGAAGAATACAGAATATACCAATTGAAAAACTCAAATTATCTAGGATATTGAGTTCCCCCCTGGGTAATTATGGGTAACTAATTCCCCATTCAGTCTCTTCAAGCAAGAGGCAGGCAGCCCCGGCAGGGGGCTTTATTTTTTACTCTTTATTTTAAGCAAAGTAACACATACTCCTAAAAAGTCATTCTGTTACACAAGGTCTGCTGAGACCACGGCATTTCCCAGCCCCACCTTACCTCTATTTTCCTTGCTTCTGAATCAACTACTTTCAATTCTTTTTGC